TTATATTTCTACTGTATGTCTTATAATTTTCGCATGGTTGGTGAGGAAATGGAAAGAGAAAGTGCTAAGTAATTTGTGTTTGTTTTCGTTCCCAAAAAACTAGATATTCTCATTGGCTAAATAGATGAAATTCGGGGCACCATATTGTTCATAGTAATATAATGATTTAATTGAACTATTTAACAGTCATGGAAAATGATTTAAAACTATAATTTTATGAAGTAAAATTTTGTTTTGTTATAATTTTGGTTTCTTATAATATAAGGTAAAGTGCAAAAAACCCCCCTAAACCAGTACCATTTTGCAAATAACACCCCTGAACTACAAATTGCCTACTTGAACTATTGATTTGTTGCAATTAAGGACAAATTCATTACAAAAGACTATTTTACCCTTTCTCATTAAATTTGTCATTTGTTATTAAATTATTTTTATTATCTTTCCTCTTATCTAAATACTAATTATACTATTTACCTTAGTTTTATTATTAGTATCAATTTATCATAAAAATGGAAAAAAAAAAATAGATTTGTAACTTATTATAAAAAAATTATTATTAATATTAAAATTTATTATAATCAATTTAAATTTTTTTGCTGTAGAAAAATATCTTCTTTCTCTTACAAATATTCATGAAAAATTAATAAGTTACTTAAATTAAAAATAACTTCTTTTTCATGCAATATATTCATGAAAAATCAATAAATTAATTCAATTGTTAGAAAATTTTCTACTTGAGATTTTTATTTAAATAATGCATTTTTTTTTTTCTAAATTATTTAAATAATTAATATAAAATATTAAAGGTAAATTTATGCAAATTAAATGGAGAATATGTCATCAAATTAGTATGATTTTTTTTTTTTCATAATTTATTTCAAGAAAAATAGATTTAATTATAATTCCATAATAAAGGGCATAATGGTTATTTAATGAAAAGTAGTCTAGGCATTGGGGCATTTTGCAACAAAATGTGATAGTCCACAAAATATACTTGAAGGGGGTTATTCGCAAATTCATACATAATTCATGGGTTTTTTTTGCACTTTAACCTATAGAGATAATTTCCTTCTTTTAATAATCTGCATTATTTGCTCAACATTTTTCTAGTTTATACTATCTCAGAAATTCAGTTGGTTCTGAATCACTGGTAAATAGTAAATACTATTTATTTGGATTTTTAAGTTTAATGGATTGAGATATCACTATATATATATATATATGTGTTAGAGAGGGAAATATAGAGGGAGAGATTCAGGAGTGAGAGAGATGCATTGAAATGAAGTCAAACGGCTGCCAAATATGACCGTTGGTAAAATAGGAGGGAATGAGGGGAGAAACTGTTAAATGAAATTGGAGGGCAAACTGGGCAGTATAAATTACTTTTTTTGATGATGTCAGCAAAATGTATCTTTGACCCTTACATGAGGGGGAAACCTGTTATTTGTTTGAAAAAGTAGGGGGTGAAACTGAAATTATGCAAAGGTTTTGGGGGGTGGGGGGGGGGCGGGGGTGGGGGAGCTAATTGTATTAAGGGCAAAACATGGGGTCAAACTGTATTTTACCCAATTAAATTTGTGTATAGTATGTACAGGGGTGGTTTGATAGTACCGGGGGTGAAGTGTCAAAAAATAATAGTATAGAGGGATTTTGTGAATTTAACCCTTAAATTTATTTAAATAAAGGAAGGCCATTTTGGTAATTTCATCTTTTAAATAACGGTTCCGTGATGATTTTGTCCTTGTATGTAACTTTTTGGTAGTGCATGGGTGGTTTGATAGTATGGGGGTGTAGTGCCAAAAAAATGAAAGTACAGGGGGTTTGTGTATTTAACCCTATATTTATATTCAACCCAATTATACAATTTATATGTGTTCTACATCAATCAACTACTCTACACGAAAGATTTCAATAACAAGTGACAAATATATTCGATATTATGAAGCAAGATCAACTTGCATGTGTTGTACTGAACAAAATTTCCAGATCTCTCTTCTAAGAACGTAGTCTCCCAATCTCTTGTCCCTACAGCCCATATTTCCGTTTGAGTAATGATGAGGGAGCCGAAAACAGGGCTCCGAATGGAGGAGCAGGTTTGGCTTGTCCACCCGTTCTGATGTTTTTGATTGAAAATGATTATTCTTTGCTTTCTTGTATACCCTAATTAGTTTTGCTATTTATAAAATTAAATTTCAGTATTCAGGGTATGATTTTCTGTCTAGGTTTGTACTGGTTAAAATTTAGAATTCTATAAGTTGAAAACGTATTGACTATAGTCTATGGTTGACTGATTGAACTTTTCACTTGTATCCATAACTGCAGTAAGTTGGATCAGTTGATATACAAAGTCATTTTGGTGCAAATATTACTGCATCAAGTTGTACTTTGTGAAAAATCAAAGGGGACAACTTTCCTGCATGTTTAGCAATCTCTGCACCTTTTTTGATTCAAATCTTTACATTAATTTCAATCTAACATACTCCCTCTGTCCCAAAAAAGGTGTCCCTTTTTGGGAACTATGACTCACAAGGACAGAGGGATTTTCTTAACATATTTTATCACAAAAAAAAGTCAATTATTCCGAAGTCCAAGGTAGGTTTGTATCTTTGACTAAAATTTCCACCTTGAAACCTAAGTCCTCTGAGGTCTCAATTACCGTAATTTACCTAATGTGAGATTTGAAGCATGTGGAATGTCATAGTCTTCCAAGCAACTTCCATATCTATTTTCCTATCATGACTAGAATCTTGTAACTTCCATCTCTAACAGATACTCCCTCCGTCCCGTAAAAAGTGTCATTGTGAGTCATGGTTCCGCAAACATGACACTTTTTATGGGACGGAGGGAGTATTACAGCCTTCTGTTAATTTCTAGATATTTTGAGTCATGACATCTAGTGCATTTGAAGGTTTATTGTAAACACACACACACACACACACATATTAATTATCACCTCAATGGTTAAGATTGAATGACTTTTACTTCCTTAGTTGTCGTAAATTTGGTTTGGATATATCATATAAGGTGCTAACTTTTGACAAATTTGGTTTGCGAAGAAGTGGTAAGGGATTGCAGTTTTTCCATCATGACAGTCTGAGGTACTTGGTTTGGTGGCTGAAGTCCAGGGTCTGTCGGGTCGAACCTCGACCTACTTGTAGAGAGAAATACCATTTTGACTCCCGTACAAATTAACCCCATCTTAATTAATATTGCTTTATAATTATTTGAGAGATTCATCTCTCTTTATTATTATGTTAATTAAGTCTTATGTGATGTCATCGAATGACATCACCCACCCTCTTACTTGGCCTATATAAGGGGATACTCCAAGGACAAGAAGGGCAGAGCAAAAAGGGAGGAGGAAATAACCTCCTAGACATAGAGAACTCTCATGCTCTCTCACACCCATGCTTTCTACATGCACCTTCACCAAGGGAGTAAATGGTGTAATACAACACTGCCATCTTCATTCTCTTGTCTCTCTCGAGTTTGACTGCGCTTCCACCTCTCTCAGTCCACCTCAGATTTTATTGTTTGCTTGGGTCACTCATATTTGTGTTATATTGATATCACCATTTATATTTGTTATATAAAAACACCCCCTCACATTCTCTTCTTGTCTGAAGCATTCCCTTAGTACGTAGACTTTTACCTCTTGCTGGACTGATCAATTCCCTATAGTTAATAAAACGGCTACATTTTGTGTTTGCTTCAGCCTGTGAGGAAACTTGTTATTCTCAAAAGTTCATTTTAACTTCTTGGTTTTACCATCCGTTTTCTACCTTTTTTAAGACCCCTCTTTTTATTTATGATTTTCCCCCCTTTCTTTCTTTTCTGGGGGAAGGGAGTGGTACATACTTAATTTAAAGTGCGTTTCCTTCTAAAATTTTAAAACAGAATTTGGCTTGAATGTACTTTGAAAACACATAATTTGTTGTCCAAAATTTGGATACTTATAAAAGAAAAAATTGACCAAAATTTGAAGAGTTTTAGGGTGAAGTTGTGACCTAACTGTTGTGTTGTCATAATAGCACATACTGGTTCTGATGCTCATTTGGTCGAGTATGGGGGAATTACTTCTCCTTCCACTGCTGTTCACGATGACTCTTCTCTCTATATATTTTGTTCATCAGAGTAAAAACTTAATATATTGACACAAATCATCATGAAGTGCTAATGAGAAGTAATACATGACACTAGGAAGTGTTGGAACTCTTTCAATAATGTTTATTTATTAGTTCCTCTGTTCATTTCTGGCTCATTGATTTTGCGTTCGAATCATATTTCTCTTGTACATTTCTTTGAAGGGTTCGCTCGAATAAGTAAATAAATAAATATATACCACCAACGCTCTGTAAAATGGTTAGTGTCATATCCTTCTAACTAGGAACTTCTGTAACTCCTTGAATATTTTTGACTTGTGGAACACTGGAACTAGATATCCATGATGAGAAAACAACAATATCAGTAATGCTTCACCAATCCTATTATCCAACAGTTCAATGCTTTTAATGTGTACTTTTTCAGTAGATTATTATTTTGTAATTCAAAATCAATATTTTCACAACTTTGTGGTTTAATTTTGTTTGTGTTAACCATTTATCTTTTTAGTTATATGGTGGAATTTGAACCCATTTCATCAGATTTATGGTGAACACAAATTTTAGATTTGATTTTTGTGCAATTGTGTTGACTTGAAAGATTTTGCAACAAGGTTGCAGTCCTAAAGAGATGAAAGTGAAGACACTGATCACTTATATTTCGCTTGGGTAGGGATTGGGGGGGGGGGGAGGTTTGGTGTCAGGTGTAGTCTGAATAGTAAAAACCTTATTTTCCAGAAATTTAATGGTTACAATAATAATCTGACACCTGCTGTGCAAGTATGTTTATAGAATTTCTCATTCTTTAGAGCAGCCCTTGGAATCTGCCTGATTTTATTGTTTAAATTTAAGGTACATAACTTTGCATTTCTTATTCTCCATTTGGCTTTTCTTTTGCAGCGGTTATGCGGTCAGACGGCTTTTTGTATCTTAAAGATAACTGCCCGTCTCTGCAGTCAGAGCTGCTAAAGACGGTAGCAGGTTGTGAGGAGGATTGTAGCAGTGGAGGTGGAAAGTCTCGAAGTGTTTGGGCCCAACTTTCTGATGGTGCTGATACCAATGGCAGGAGGGTAAGACAGAGGACCTGACTTTTGGATAGGAAATTGATGGTTGCTGTTTTCGTGTAACACATTATGATTGTGTCAAGAAAAGGTGATTTTGAACAGAGTGCTAACATGACAACAGGAAGATTAATTCCTTAGCTTTTCTTCCATGGCCTTCATGAAATGCTGTTGTACTCACAGAACACTACTGGTTGATGTTAATGGCAATGTTTTCACTGTAACCTGACTTTAAGGCTGTTTTTTGTTGTAGTTTAATGCGTCTCCAGACTTGGTCATATAAAATTCCAAGTGCCATTTTCTTTGCAACGCTGGCTACAAATTCTCACTCTGAAGTTCCTAAAATGGCCGTATCTATAAATTATTTTTTGTAACAAGATATTAATCTGTTTGCATTTAGCGGCTTTGGCAGCATTTAACGGTATAGCTGGTCTGGTCACTCTTAAAAAACGAAATTGGTCAGACTGGGTTAGTTATAGCCTTATAGGTTTGAATTTATTATACCTTGACTCGGATAGTCGAGGGAGAGTGGGAGCTTGGGGATGGATTTAAACGAGTGTTTTTTTATGACTCTTCGTACAATTCTACTCGTGTGCTTTTGACGACTTTTGTGCCAAATTGCTAAAGATTTCTGTATTGATGGTTGTCCCATGGGTAGAAACACAGTCATTGGAATAAACACGTAAACAATTTAAAAACGACTTTAAACGGTTATTGTCCATACATTAAATGGAGAATGTTCAATTAATTAATAGTTTTATGGCAAATTGCATGAAACAACATTCTCCACTCTCTCCTCCTCCTCTTAAATTTGTGAAATTTTTTAATAAGTGACAAGTTATTAGTGTGTGCTTACAAATATGACTCTACCCAAATATTTTATGGGTGAAAGAGTGTTACTAAATTAAAGTAATTACCAAATAAGGAATTCTACTATTTTGGCCCAAACTGCCTTTTTAATAACCTTTGAGTCATTTACACATATACCTTCCATTTTCGCCCAAACGCCCTTTTCATATAAATATGACTGTATCCAAATATTTTATGGGTGAAAGAGTCACTAAATTAAAGTAATTACCAAACAAGGAATTCTACTAATTTGGTCCAAACTGCCTTTTAATCACTTTTGAGACATTTACACATATACACTCCATTTTGGTTCAAATCCCCTCTTCATATAAATACGAGTGTATCCAAATATTTTATGTGTGAAAGTGTTGGAGAAACGGAAGTTTAAAAAACTTTTAGAGGATTTTTTAAATAAAAATCTTGATTCATGTGTAGAGATAAGTTTTATGCATGAAGAACATGAAGTCAGAGATATAAAACTTACATTAAGGTTTGAGTAAACATTAAATCTCTCCTCTAAAGTGAATGTTATAACATTATAGACCCTTTAGTTAGATGTCGCTTCCTTGGATCTTCATCTTCTTGGTAATGATCTTGCCTTTAGAAATCACCCATAAATCTCTATGAATGACCTTGGAGAGCTTAACTTGTGGGAGCCTCCATGAGATGAGAACATTTAACCCTAAAATCTTAGAGAGGGAAAAATCTTTTCTTGTTTTCCAAAAATTAATGCACAAAGGCGTAACCTAAAATATACTTGGACACCATGTATATATAGGCAAAATAAAAATAATAATTGAAGACAATATATTTTCTCAATCCCTAAAATTCACGGGATTATTCAAATCTAATGGGCCTCCAATATCAAGTTGGGCTATGAGTGAGAATCCTTTGGACTTATTATTTTCTTGGCTACAATGAATTAATAATTAACTCGGTACATTATACTATAGACCCAATTCAATTAATTCATAAATTAATTTTTACTCCACTAAAAGAAATTAATTGAACTCCAATTAAATAATAAATAACCTCTAAGTCAATATTGCATTTTGACCCCTCATGCATAATTAGTTATCGGATAAATAAAGCTATCAATCCGACAACTGAATTAATATATTTATTTTGGTACCTTTAATTATTTCCGACTTGATCGCAATAAAACATTTGTTTGACAAAAATAATAATTTAAATAAATAAATATATAGAAAATCATTTTATCTAAAACACACGAAGGCCTTCGAATTTACTTTGTGATCAACCATAATCAATACAAAATAAATACAAGTAGCAATTATGCAAATATTGAAAATATAACCCTCTAACTATTAATTACATAATTACCCAAAGTGCCAGTCTATGGATTCCGAAGAATCCGCCGAACATATTAATGTAATTACTAATTAATAAAAGAGTCTATACTTCTCTCATGCTTAAAAGTCAAATGCCATGATAGCGATAGGGAGTAATGGCATAAGACTGTGAGAAGTGTTGAAATATTGCACATTTTAGCTCTAATCTCGGGTATTTTAAACCTTGCATCTATCTTTATTATCCTGTTTTAGTTCTTATTTGTGTTTTTGTTTATTTTAGGTTAATAAGGTTCAAACAGGCTAAAAACAGTTTATTAAACCCTTTTTGGAGTCAAGCAAATACACCAAGAAAAATCCAGTTCAGAAATCTGCCAAAATGGCCTACGATCGATCGTAGCCATGGCACGATTGATCGCAATATTCTACAATCGTTCACAAGTGGATAAGCCATTTAGCCATGCCACGTCATTATCATGATCGATCGCAAATCTTAGTCAGCAGATAAGGCGGCCAGTTGTTAGCGGATAAGATAAGAAGTACAGTTAGCATTACGATCGATCGTAGGGAACTTGCGATCGATCGTAACTCCCTGTGATCGATTGTAACCTTGCTGGTAGAAGCTTGTTTTTCACCCGGTTTCGCCCGAACTTCACCTACCAAATGGCTATGGGATTGAATTATTTTGGGGCTTATTTATGACCTATTTTAGGCTCCAAGGGTCATGTATAAAAGGGGGGTTGAACTATTTTGTAAATGAGCTTTCATTTTACATAGATATTTTATTTTTTTAGTTGTAGTTTTCTCTGTAGAAAAGTTAGAGATTAGGGTTAGAAGTAAAGAGGAGAATGGAGGCACCAGAAAGAACATCTCAAGATCTACACACACTCTCTCTCTAGAATTCAACAAGAAGAAGAGGAAGAAGATGAAGCCATGTTTGGGGATTGCCCTTTAGGGTTCCACGACCACATCCACCTCCTCCATGATTGGCTAAACTTCTCTTTGGGGCTTGGATGAGCCCTAAGCTTGTAATCTAAACCATTGTCTTTCATCTTTTTGGGGATTTATATCTTATGATTAGTGTTATGGCCTTGTGTATATAATGAAACTTGGTTGTACCAAGGATTTCTATGGTTAAATTCTACCTACTAATTCTCTATATTGGTTGCATGTCTATGTGTGATTAATTAAGAATTATGCTTTACACTAGATACTTTTTGTAATTGTATTTAGTGATGGCTATACATGGTTTTTATTGGATAGAATTGTCAATTAATTTGATGGATTATGCTTATGTTTGATGGGTTATGCTACACCCTAGTTTACTTGTTGTTAGGTAAACAATCTATGCTTGAATTTGATAGTCCATGGCTTATTATTGCAAATTTCATTATTCTTTAGATTGATGTGTGCTACAATTGTTGACTACTTTGATGGATTATACTTAGACTTGATGGGTTGTGCTTCACCTTAATTCATACTTGTAGTTAGGTAGACAATTCATACTTGAATTTGATGGTTCATACTTAATATCACAATTAATAATCACATTTTAATTACAAGAATGTTTTCCCTAATTAGTTGAAAGTATGTGGTTTAGTGAATGAGCTTAGGGAGGATTCCAATGCCCTAAGACCTCTCTTCTTATCTCTTAAATCCCTAGCTCACTTAGTTTAATTTACTTGCATTTACATTTAATTGAACTTTAGAGTAAATAACCAAACAAATCGTCTCTTTACAATCTTGTGAAACACTAGAGTCGAAGTTAGATTCTAACTATGTGTTTAATTCCTACAGATGCCTACTTGCTATACTTCCTTAGTAATAGTAGTGGTTTTATAAATGTAAATTTGACTTTCTAAGCTTCCAAAACCACATTCATATTTTTGACCTTGTGAAGCGACCTCACAATAAAGGTGGTACTCGCAAGAGGCCCGTCACTCTTGCAATATATCTCAACTTAACGCGGATCCGGTTTAAGTCTTCTTTAATAATGAGTCCATCAATAATTACCGACTATGAACTATTTATGATTACTATTTATGTTCATGTATTGATTGAAATCACATACATATAAATATCTCTTATAATCAAGTGGACACTATCAATTCTATAATGAATCGAAACATAATACATTGAATTCACTAATTGTATAAAACATAAATATTTCAGATATGTTAGGAACATATGTCATTTTAATCCAAATAAGAATTCGCTATGTCAGGGCATACAAATCCCAACAACTCCCACTTGCCCTCATAGCCAATTTGTATCATATCTAACTCCTATGTTATCCAGTTGATGATTAAAACTATTAATCAATGACATATTTGTTAATGGATTAACAAAGTTGTGTTTCGATGCAATGTTTTCAGCCACGAGTACATTTTCTTACTGGACAATATCATGTAGGACATGATACTTCCTCTCAATGTACCTTGTTCCTCTATGGAATCTTGGGTTATTGGTTTGGGCTACTTCTACACTATTGTTGCAATTTAGCTTGATAGGCAGGTTAGTATGCTCCATAACCTCTAAATTAGTGAGATCAAACCAAAATGCTTCCTTTGCTGTCTTTAAGGCTGCAATGTACTCCACCTTCAGGGTTGAGTCAGCAGTCAAAATCTGCTTAACACTCTACCAACTAATTTCACTTCCATTGAGTAAACATACACCAAGTCATGAATCTCGTACTATTTACATCTGATTAAAAATCAGAACTAGTATACCCGACTGGGACCATATCATCACATCCATAAATGCGTATGAGATCATTGGTTCTCCTAAGGTACTTTATGATATTTTTCACAACAAACTAGTTATCAAGTCCGCGATTAGCCTGATATCTACTGACTATCCCTACATTGTAGCGGATATCCCGTCTGGTATAGACTATGGCATATATGAGACTCCCACATGCCGAAGCGTATTATTTCAGTCTCATTTGCTCAACCTCCTCTGTTAGCCTTAGAAAACTACTTACTAGAGAGAGCAATCCATGTAAATAAAACAAGAACTCATTCTTTGAGTTTTGCATACCAAACTTGGTCAAAACTTTATCAATGTAGAATTGTTAAGATAAGGCTATTTTTCTTTTAACCCAATCTTGCAAAAGCTTGATCCTAGGAATATAGCTTACATCATGAAAATCCTTCATTTCAAAGTAATTGAACGACTACTTCTTTACTGATGACGAAACTTCCACGTCATTATAAATGAGTAGGATGTCATCAATATATA